CGCTTTCTCGGGTATCTACACACTGTCCTCGGACTACGCTTGTCACAACCCCTTCTTCATTATCGGTGTCTATCACACCTATCACAACCTCTTCTTCATTACCTGCGTTTGTCGCACCTGCGTCCTCATCAGTCTTAGTAACCTCTTCCATGCCGTTTGTGCCCCTGGCTGCCCCTTTTCGGTTCGCAGCCTCTTCCTCATCGGCCTTGGTTGCTTCTACGATTGATTCCGCGGGAGCAGCTCGACCCGCAGCTGCTATGTTGCCCTTGGTCTAAGTGTGTTCCTCCATGGCATCCGTGGGCACCGTAGCCGTTGTGTCGCCCTTGGTCTCGGTGTGTTCCTCCATGGCATCCGTGACCACCGCATCTGTTGTGTCACCCTTGGTCTCGGTGCGTTCCTCCATGGCATTTGTGGCCATGCCTGCATTACTACCTGCAGAGTTGCCTCTTCGGGTCTCACCTACGACTGCCCCCCCTGTCTTTGCTTCAACCACTTCACCACCCCTGACTTCATCCCCCCCGTCTTCACCGCCTTTATTTCCCCTGGTTTTATCGTCGTCTGTTACTCACCTTCCGACTACTCTACTACCCCTATCTTCACCACGCCTACCTCCCCTGGTTTTGTCTCCATCCGTTACCCCTCTTCCTAATCCACAAACCACTTCGTCCACACAGACTCCGTCATCATGTTYTGCCCCTGCAGAAAGCCTACTTCGYCGTCCTAGAYGCCGACTTCGACCTACTTCCCAACCTCAGCTTACTCCCCTTTCCTCCATCTCTGTTCTTGGACGAAGAAGAACCYGTTCATTCTCCCCACCACGRCCCTCCCCAACATCYCGTCCCCGTCTTTTGCCGCCCCAAGCATCCTTACCACGCCTACAACGCTCTTCGACTGCAGACCTTTCTGCAACGCGGCAAACACAAAACGGGAGGGATGATGGCGAGGGACCATCTGAGGATGAACTTGGCAAGGGGACTGTAGGAGATTCTGTACAAAATCCGCCTTATCGGCCTCCACCGAATCTGTGTGGTCTCGCTACTACTAACATCTGCCTACAAGCCTATCGTCAGGAACCATATACTCACTATGATTTCTTGGCCATTGCTTCCAATCTTGATGCTCAGGAACGTGAGTTATATGACGATAACCCGGCTCTGCATCCCCCACAGGATAGTAATTACACTCGACATGGGGGATTCAATGTCTCTGTTTTGGAGACTGCTTTGATAAGGCACCGGCTTGATATGCAGCGTGCTACTACACCGCTCTTGTCCATGCCTCTGGTTCTTGGGAATTATGGAATTGCGGTGCTATGATGCAAACTATTACTGCCATCTGTGATCTCGTGCGTAATTACCCTAACTTGTAACTGTTGTAGGTCATCGACCCTAGGGGTACATCGTGTACTTCCGTGCCTGCCTCTACGCCTATCTCTGTGCCTGCCTCCGTACCCGTCTCTGTGCCTGTTTCTATGTCTGTCTCCTTCCAGATTACTGACCCTATAGGTACCTC